TAGATAACCGAACAGGTCATCTATGCCCCAGCGGGACCTATGAAGTATAGGCAAACAGCCTTTCAGCATCAGACAACCGAGCAGGTCACCTGTGCCCAACATGGTTTTGGCTCGGCAAACAGCCTTGAATGACAAGAACCAAACAGGTCCCTGACACGCCACTATTTCTTACTTCTCTATATCTTTGAAGGAGATACTCCGCTTTTTCCTTTTTCTTGCCTTCTTCACGATCAATAATAGTTTCAAGTATCTATCTATCTTTCGTTGAAAAGGCTCTTCTACAGACTCTCCCAAAAAATCAGAAATATTCCACTCTGAGGATCTTTTATTCTTTGTTGCTTATCTTTCGATCTTTCTCTTAAGAGAATTTTTTAGATAATTACTCAAGCTTGGGATATAAACCAGAAAAAGTCAGGGGTAATTATTTAATTTAGTAATCAGATCAGGATTCATTTCCTTCTATAGCACATAGGGTTCGACAAGGCGGCCCCCCGAAGTCCGGTTCCCACTATTTAAAATTTTGTCGATCAATTTATTAAAAGAATTTATCATAGTAATTTTATAATAAAAACGGTATATTTTAAAATGTTATAACTCTCGTTCTAGTAGAACAAATTCAATTATGTAACTTGTAAATGATATATAAATAATGCACTTTTAAAACTATTTTATTAATTTGGCTAAAATTACAAATTAACAAATTTTAACAATTATTTAAACGATTATAACTTTTGCAATACATCTATTATGCATACTCAAACAATTCTAAACACTACCATTATTACAACTTCTTGTATCCATAAACATTATATTCATAAATTATATTTATAACCTAAATAAATATAACAAAAAGGTTTAGAATAGTAGTTCAAAATAGTATGTTTTTTTATTTGTAAAAGGGAAACAAGACCAGTAGAAATAAGATCTCACAATTTTCACTTATTGCTTAGTCACCAAACCACCTTTCAATAGATCTCCTTTAGTATAGGTGGGTAGTGTTCTGAAGTTCAGTTCAGTTCAATTTAGGTTCAGGTTCAAGTTCAATTGAACCTGAACTGAACTTTAAAT